ACCTATGATTAATCAATGAATCCTTGTAATCAAAAAATAAAATCATTTATATCTGTTTTTTTTCTAATGTAATGCAAACAATAGTTGATAGGCCAAGAAAGTTAGTTGGATCTTATTCTAAATAAATAAAAATTGTGTAGAATCAATAATATCAATCACTCAGAAATTCTTGGACATCAAAAAATGACTGTAAGAATGAGAAAGATAGATATGTAACACATAGCATTATCTTTTGTCGAAATGAACTGAAAGAGGAAACTCATCCATCTAATAAGTTGCTTTTACAGTGTTTTTTAAATGAATGTCATGTAGAGTCCTACAATTCGATCCGACCCTCCCGGTGGGTGTGGGTTGAACTATGAAAAGTGTCAGATTCATTGTTATACCGAATGATACTAAGCAATTATAATAACGTTATTTTATTTTGTCATCAAAAACTTGAAAAATATGAACCAATAACATGCGATTCAATAGAGATGAGATAAGAGTCGATTGTTGTGCTCTTCTGGTAGACATGTTCTTTGCAAACAATATAGTTTTGAATAATTGCTATGCTTTCCAACTTTCGTAGCAGCACTTTTGAATCATGTAATAGAACTATTGTCATAAAGGTCTGTCCTAATGCAAAGCTTCAATTCGAAATTCGAAAATCAGTTTTTCTGTAGTATGGCATTCATTTAATAAAGTCTAGAATAAAAGTGCAGTCTCTCTGCAGCAATAAGAAGATACGGGTATGAACTTATTTCGGTCTACATAATGCACATAGTTTCGATTCAAAAGCGATTTATTACTTCGAGGGCTTCCTTCGTGAGGCTTGCTTAAGGTCACTACTAACTATCATGTCTGTAAACAATACATTCAAGAAAAAAACGTTAGAACAGATTGTATCTATCCTTTTGATCAATCTGAATAGTTACGACAAATAGAAGAGAAGATCACTTGGCAGATATAAGACAAAAAACTTTTGTCTGTATCCGAATGTTCATATTAAACCGAACTAGAATTTCAGACCGACGTTATAAAATACCTCACTATTGTATGACGATTGAATTGAAATAGAATCGAAAAAATTTTCTAAATGTTTTTTTTATCTTATTCGTCATGTTTTTAGGAAAATAATTATGGGTGATTTTTGAAAAACAATGGTAAAATGGTATAAATATGGATTTAGATTCCAACATTTATATCCAATATTCAAAACTAATTTTTGTGAAATTCTCACCTTTGAAAACTACAAGTCAGAGCATTTGAAAATAACAGTGAGGGCTTGTAACGATGGAAAATTACTTGGGAGTGTTGACAATAGTAATCGATGGAGGTTTTGTCGTAGGCTCTGAACATGATATTTATTTCTTTCCGAACAGAAGTTCTCATAGTCAATACCTTAGACTACAAACACATGTTTATGAGGTTTTTCTATCATATAAAAAAAATCGAATACAATTGAAATAGATATTAAAACGATTGACACTTCATGCTCTTGGCGTACTTCGATTGTTATTAACTTTTCTCATTTGTTTAGGGACTAATTTTTCTAGGTTTCACAACAAAAAAATATGTCTGAATATATCAAAACAAGAATTCTAAAAGTAATTCAGCGAGTTCTATCTAAAATTGGCAAAAAGTGCCAAAAATAACATTGCTAAAACTTCGAATTACCAACACTTTAAAATTACGTAAAAAAAGTAACAAACATTATTTTAATAGGAAAATTTCTATGAGATATCATTGATACATGATCAAGTTAAAAAAGAAATTGAAAATGAAATATTATATAAAGCAATTGAATCATGCAATAATGGAAGAACAAATACTATAGCTGATTTATTAAATTTAATGAATATTCATATTCCGTTAGACAAAGATTTTTATTGTCGACCATTGATATCATTATTAGAAGAATATCCACTATTCAAATCAGACAAGATTATCAATTCGGGTAAAAATTTCAGAAGTTTTTCTTTTCGAATCTAGGAACTTTTAATAATAGTTTTTGAACAAATGTTATCATTATTAATTATGGAAAAACTACAAGGATATCAAATAGTATTCTATTGAACAATTATCAAGAAAAATTTTTAAAACATTGTAAAACTGATTTTCAAAGAAATCTTTTTAATGAATTGCCTATGAATGAAATATAAATTAAGTTCAATACACATTATCAGTACAAGAATAAATAGTTTTCAATACTCCATCGAAGAAACTTCATAAACAAAAGTTTCTTACGACCAAAAGGAAAACTTCAATGGTACTCATTTTCATTTTAAAATCATTAGCAATTT